TTTGAGGAGGTGGAACATTGTAGGACTGTAACACTAGAGCACCGGGAACCTTGACATATTGACTGTTATAAATACGCATAAAGAAACTGAAGCAAACTGTATAAACTGAACCAAGATATCCTGGCACTGAATGAGCCGTGGCTCACTATGGGAGGGTCATTTTGAGTTTTATTCCTTGGTAACAGGGAAAGTTGAACATGCTCTTGTGCGCACTGACTGCTGCACCAAATAGCGACAGTGTAAGTACAGAGCAGATGGGAGTGCAGTCTACTAAACTCGGACAGGAGTGATTAGTGTTTCCTCGGCAAATTTAGAAAGTCACATTTGGACCTTTTTCTACCTGACCCACCTTTATAGAACATGCAGCAAATGATCATTTCAGAAAGAATGTGTGAGTAGAGCTCATGTAACTGCTACTTAGGCTCAGGAAATTCCTACATTTTCTATAATTATGAGCTACTACTGTTGTTGCACTACACAGCATTTGTCCTAAAACTTAGGGTCCAGAAAAATTATGACTGGAACATGGAAAAAAAACTAGTCACTAAACTGAGAGAAATAGCCCAGTTCCTAGATCATGGGAGTCCAAACTCAGGGCTGAAAGGATCTTGGTGTTTGTGATGGGAAAGTACAAAACAGTTGAAATTTAAGCAAACATGAATTAGCTTATAGCATTACTAATTGCATATAGTGTATATGGTCTTCCTTTGCCAATAAAAGACACAGACTGGCAGATTGAGTCAGCAGCAAGATCGATCTACATGTGGCTTTCAAGACACAAACCTCACCTGAGAAGATACGTGGACTAAAGTAAAACACAAACACTGATTGTGGGAAAAAGGGGTCCAGGGGTCTGGTTGACAGCAGTGGCAGAGGAGCGAGTCTGAGCAGACTCAGACTTGCCATGTCCTCGGCAGACCGACTGAGTTGCCCCGCCTAGGCTGCCCCGCTTTGACCTCTTACTTCTGCACAGTCCCCCACCAATAGTACCACCTCCAAGCCATGCCCCTAGCACGCCTCCATTGCCACGCCTCTAGCCTGCTCTATAAAACGCCTGGTACTTCTGCAATAAAGTAGATCTGCGCCATCAGCCTGGTCTCCGGTGTCTTCTTCTCACCGTGTTGCCGCTTACCACACTCCCAGGTCCTTCCACCCGAGAGGTTCTACCTGAAGTGGCGCCCGAACAGGGACCCTGTGCCCACCCCCGGGAATCAGTAAGTGGCCCCCGCCCATATCATGGGCTCCGTGCTTCGTAAGGAACAGCACCTTCAAGCCCGGGCTCTTGCTGCTGTCTTACAGGCTAGACATGTAAAATTTCTTATAAGACCCTCTCCCAGTACTGGGGCATTCTCCTTCCCTTTAATCCTTGGCTCAAAACAGCTAACCTGCGGGACCCACAAACATGGTCCCTCCTTATCCGGCGGGTCCAAATGGCAGAACAACATGAAGGAAAAAATCTTTTCCGTAGGGCTCCAGCCTGCCTTACTTACTATCAGAGCTTGCTTAACAGGCTCAGAAAGCATTACTGGGGAGGATTCAGAGGCCTTCCCTCTCCTAGCAGACTCCGCTGTGTGTGCAGCGCCAGCCCCAGATGCCAAGCCTTCCCATGAGGTACCTCTCCCTGTCGGTACCCCTCCCATCCGAACCAAATGCCAAAGAAACCCCTAAGCCAGATGATATAAAACCCTTGACTCCCAAGCCTAAACCACACAGTATATACCCCTCACTCACTCCCTTAAAACCAGAACCAAAGATGGCGCTGAGCAAAAATTCTCCACCCCTGATGGCGCCAAACAAAAACACCCCGCCCCGGGTTACTTTCTCTTTGTCACACAATAAGCCCTGCCCCATGATGAAAGTGGAACTTGACTGGGACAAGCCTCCGGTTTATCTTGTAGCGCCACCTGCTGATCATACAATAACACCACACCCTAAAAATCCATGGGATGGATATCATACAAGAAGAGATATTAAAGTGAAACCATCCCAACAATGGGGCAATCATTACGAAGGATTATGCAAAATCAGAGACAGTCAAGCAAAAAAATTGGGAACAATGGGAAACTGAGATAAATGATATGTTTCCTGTAAATTTACATCAAAATCCTGCACGCCCTTTAAGATGGTATTCCCATGAACATTCCACTCTTAAACGCTTGAGAGAAGCCGTTAGGGAAAACGGCCTTCAAGGCCCGTTTGCACAACAGTTAATTGAAACAATTAGCATGGAGATGAACTGCCCTACAGACTGGAAGCAACTAGCTA